TAACTGCTGGACCTGTGTTATGGGGGGGGGGGGTCATAACAAGCTGTCCCCACCGTTTCGTAATCCTGTTCGGAATAACCGTCCGGGTTACATCCAGGTTTCTGTCAGTAGTTAAGGTTAGAAGTTGGCCCGGCGTTATGGTTCCAAGTTCAACAAGATAACTGGGATTGGACGTAAGAGGTCTCTGATTAAGGATACGTTTGATCTCCACAATCGTTTTAAGAGGTACTTCGTCACTGACAAGCTGTTCTCCGTGTAACACACGAAGTGTGCGTCGTATGGATCGAATTAGAGGTTCCCAGACGCATACGCGTTGACTTCCGTACTTCCGCAGTTTCTTTCGCTTAGTGATCTATGCAACTTCTCATGGTCCCATGACCTAATCAGTGCTGTCAGCTCGCCTTCGACACTCCGAAAAGTTAGTCCGTCGTCTCTTTAGATCCTTGAAGGTACACATCGTCGCGAAGCAAATCGCGAGAATGCGCACAAGAACGAGTCGATATCCATAGCATGGTTGATTTCAGTACAAGCGGCTGTCACTGAAGGACATTTAAATAGATATGCATAGCGATTTTTCGTTCTCCGTCTTAACTAACAGTAGACCAAATTAGTCCACACCAACAGTGAAGGCCGGTTGAAATACCATAGAGTGATCCTCCCATCTGTTGGTCTTCGACCAAAGGTGCCATCTGTTGTCCGCACGGCTGAACATACCAGATCTCACAACGTGCGCACCTCTCCAGAACCTTACGTACTGCTAAAGCGCCTCGTAGTATCTAATAACGTTGGCGTCACTCGGAGTGCACGTGAGTAGGACCAACATGCGCGTTTTTCTCATGACAGTCTAAAATAATTAGATAGGTTACAAAATGCCTGGGAGGAAGCAGTATCGAATGCTTAGTGTCGTATGGCACTGGTGCCTAGTTCACTCTTACACCTACCCTTAATATACGTCAATCAAGGATGGGCGGAGTCTTTTCAACTGGCTGTCTGATCGCTTAAGGCATTTTATCGACTCGTTTGGGCGATTACCTTTCAGTGCATGAATCTCGTTAGCGAATGCATTCTGTTTGACAATTTTAAATGTTTCTACTTCAGCTTCTTTAGGTTCATAAGTCGTGAAACGTTTTTCGAATGTGTTAGCACATTTCTACCGGTCCTTTGCACCGGGTATTCCTTGAATCTGAGTAGAATGGCGATACGCAGCTTGAGCTCAATCCAACTGCTGCAGTTAGAAAACATTCCTAGTCACCTCTTCTCCGGGACCGAGCAATGAGACCTGATGTTCTCCTTCTTCAACCCCTCGGTAGTTCTTCCAGTGTCGGGCATCTTAGACCATCGAACTGAATCATTATACAAGAAACTAGGTCCATCGCACCATTTTCTCATTCGTAATTTCTCACTGGCTCGAAATCCACGTGAAGCTAAGTCGTCTGGGCTTTCTGACGTTTTCACATACCTCCACTACAATGGTGTAGCAAACTAGTGAATCTCTGAAAGCCGGTAGGCCACAAATGTCGTAAAACGCTTAGTTGTACATCGTATGAACTGCAACATCACCAATGAGGCAGTCCTGAACGGAGGTGATCTTTCGATGTGTAGCTCTTCGGACACTTGAGTAGCTAATCGCATAGAAAACACGGCGGCCGTTAGCTCAAGACGTGTTGTTGTGACTGCATTTATTGGTGATACGCGAGATTTTCCCACAGGAATGGAGATTATGACCCGGTTGTCTCTCATTACGATCCTTGCGTACACCATGGCTCCATATCCATCCTCTGAAGCATCGAAGAAGCAGTGCAATTCTATTTCCCTCTCGTCAAAGCTGTTTGGTTTGATACACCTCCGGATTCTAAACTGACTCACTGAATAAAGATCATCCAAAAAGTGATACTATTCGTTTCGTTCTCGTTCGTCTACACAAGTATCCCGGCCCATTCCTTCCTGAACGAACTGCTATAAAAGCTGTTTCTCTCGACGAAGCGCAGGAGAAACTAGGCCCAATGGGTCATATACATCGACGCAATAATCGACAACATAAATCTTCGGATAGAATCCCCTTCCAGTGTAGCTATACCTAATGTTATGCAGTCAGCGGATAAGTTCCACTTCAATCCTAAGGTGGGAGGTACTTTATCGGATTGTAAAGTCAACACAACTGAATCAGTTGAAAGTGCATTCTGCGATGATTCTTGTATGACTAGGGGGTCGTTGCATTTCCATTTACTCAACCGGATTGCTACTTTAGAGCTAATTTCCGAAATTGCATATTAACATGTCGTGCGACGCACCCACTATCACAACTGAACAGACAGTAGTGCACCTAGAAGCTTCTTCGCAAGATCGACAATATCGACTCGGAATACGCACCATTACAATCCTCCACTGTTCTCAGTAGTACGACGGAGGTGCAGCACGAGGACGAACTTACACCGAATTGGTGAACCACCATACGGAACGGTTTCGGAGGCTCATGCAACCGTGCGTTGGGCCACCACTAGAAGCGTAAGCAATCTCTGTCCTTTAGCGCTACTTTCACTTTATGGATCATTGCTTCTATATCAGCGACCACTGCAACAGTGCCGGTCCTAAATCTCAGAAAGTCATCAACTAAGTTGTTTACTAAGTCGGATCCCTTCAGCAGTTGTTGTTTTCATGAAGTCTTTTGATATGTGCTTGCGCAATCGAAAACAACATGTACTTTTCCTGGCTTGTTTGTATGGGTGACAGCGTGGTGAGGCATTTACCACACTCCGTTTTCGTGCATAAACGATCTTGACTCGACTAATTCAGCGAACCCATACGATATATGCGTCTCAACGGCTGTCCTATACGTCCGCTGCAACTCAATATTTGTAATGAGCTTCCTTTTCAATGACACCAGTCTACAGTAAGCAGGAGGTTACTTATTTGGAAGCACCGGACTTAGGGATAGAAGCTTCCATCTGTTTCGGTGCATATTTGTCTTCCATGGAGATTCCACACGCATTTCCGCAGTGCTCTGTAAATTCCAGATTCTACATCCGGCTGAGAAATGATGAGGTACAATCGTCTACCGAAATGACGTTCGTGCTGACCGTCTGTGCACCTGATTCTCCAACCGCGCCAAGCAGAATCCAGCCCAACAGCGTGCGCACGGAAAACTGTTCCGAAGGTCTTCCGTAACGCTGCTCTAACACCCAATGTGCATACGGAACGTTCATGCATAATAAAATCCCTATTCGCTGACTATCTGCGAAACGCAAATCTTTCAAGTACTCCCAGATCCGTAAATGTTCTGCCATGGGTATCACTCGTTGAACCTGAGTCATTCTCCTAACAGAACAAGCATCATCCACGAAAATTGTCTTGCCACCGTCCAGGGGTAGCAATTCCAGTTTCACCGCCTGCGAGCCCATACGAACTTCTCCATTAATGGTGGATGTACTAACTTTTGGTGGTTCTGATCGAAAGTAATGTTTGTGCAGCAATTGCCCGTCAATCAATGAGGTATCTGAGCCGGGGTCCAGGAGAGCTTTATTTACTCTAACTTTGACTTTGTCACAAAGCTTCACTGGAACAACTCCTAAAGCCACTTGGCTTTCCGATGCCGACGCCTCATTCACCACGGAACATGGGGTGGCTGGTACTAACTTAGTACTATGTTGCAATGAATGGTGTTTTAACTGACAACCATCTATTCCACAAGAAAATCGTGATCTACTATTGGCTGATGATTGATTCCATTTCAGGCATAGGTCGCCAAGACTTTTCTCTGACACAATCGACAGGCGTTCAATACTGGTCATGGCTAGAAATTGAGGGCCTTGATTCAAGTATTGTGTCAGCATACATTCGATACATGTTGGTAGACTCCCATGAAGCCGTTGGGACAATTTTCCAGTAGTCAGATCGTTTATGCGGTCCCATCGCAGTGATGGTTTAGTTTCGATTGACCTTCACGTCTGTTCGTCCACGTACACTGCTCGCGTAATAGCTACTTCCGTACATTCACAAAGAAGATTGTAGACTTCTTTGAAAGAGGGTTCTCTACAGGTCCGAATGACAGCAGCTGCTATTTTTGACCACACAAACTGCTGAGAACAGGAAGTCTTCGAAAGATAACTGCTACCCTCCCGTTAGTGTCTGCTTGAGAAGTTATCTGCTATAGCGTATTGAGTCATGCTTTCCTCTGCCTGCTAATCGACGTAACTTGTCTGGATTGTTGGTTTTTACTGGTGGTCCTATAGCGGAATTGCTTGGTCGCTATGAGCCTTACGGAAAAGTCAGAAGAGGACGAATAAATAGGCGAGATAGACGTTTATTGGAGAAACATACAATCCCGCTAACTAAAAGCACCGTAAAAAGGTTTTAGCTAGGGGAAAGACCTCGCTAGCACCCTTCGTGGTAGGGAGCCGGAGGCGTGCGAAGTATGATTCGTCAAGTTGACTCAAACACACATAGTCGCCGTTCGAACAGTCGAGCTTCCTACATTGCCTAGATACAAAATGAAATTATATTTTTATGATATTTTACACGTCGTACCTAGACAAACCGGAGATTTTTCAAGTCTCTACACAGCCCCTTTTCTAGAAGGGAACTGTGGGTGACCCTTCGATCTATTTGAGTACTGTCCGTTGGCCTTTGCGAGATAAGGTGGTGAAGCCTGATGCAGTTGCTGGGGAAGAACTAGCGCGATCGGACCGTAAAGAGCTCCCACATCTGTCCTCCCTAAAGGTGCATATAAAAAATGGGGCAAACGTTCGTAGCATATAAACACTTGTTTCTAACCACGAGTGCTTGTTATCCGATTCGTAACATGAAAGGAAATAAGGAAACGGGAACCTGAAGCCTGCAAAAGCGGTGACAGCAACGAACAAGAATGACACTTACCAAAAAGACAGCGTAAAGTCAACGAACCAACTCTTTTTATCGGTTTTGCCAACGTTTTCTTCTTGCTTTCAAATGCTTTTACGTTTTTCTGGGTGCTCAAAGCATTTTGTGCTTTTTCTGGTTTTCAGATGCTGGAACGCAAGGAAATCCCAAACGTTCTAGGAAGCGTGTCCGCCAGTGAAGTCGACGACCAGACATAGTAACCTTTTTAGGCTGGGTAGAGTCCGAGGGCTCGGTTGATGGGTCTCCGGTTGAAAAGTTGCTGTCTGCAGTAGACGTTCCCTCCACCATCGGTTGAGTCAATTCGTTGGAGGACACAAGAGTGTAGTTGTCCATTCGCTCTGGTTCGACTTGTTAAACGTTGAGACGGTCGATCGATACAGCTTCTCTTTTGCCGTTACGTCCAATGACGAAATAGTGATCCTTACGTCGTAGCACCTTGAACGGACATTCGTAAAGTCATTCGAGGGGTCTGCGTAGACTATTGATGCGTATGAAGACGAACTGGCAATGGTGAAGATCTTCGAGAACGTAAGGCTTGCCGAACAACCTCTTCATGGTGCCAGGGGGTGGTTCGGAATTTTCCCGCTCCAGCAAATGGTTCGGCGGCAGTGTTCCAGGACGTGGTGGGTTTTCGCCTGGCAAGCGTTCTCCCTATAAAAAGCCACATATGTCCGTTTAACAACCCTGTGACGTGGCGGACGTGACTCGCCACTAAATAAAGTCACTGCCCTTTGCTTCATCCTGGCGAAGCATTGTATTCCAGCAACGTTATGCTGTAATTTTGGGGAGCATTGGGCCCATGTTTGACAAAGGAACAAACGAAAGGCATACGAACTGAGCAGTCAGCCATTAGCTCCCAATGGGCGCGATTCTCTGAATTCGCTCCGCTGCCTTGCGGGCAGGCTATTCGGCCAAAGGCTCGGGGTGGTGTCCCCTAAGTCAACACCCTACTTCGGCTTGGGCAACCGGGTAGTATCTCGCCCTCTGAGGAAACCATGGACTTTGATGTGTTGTGTTTTCTTTTACTATTTCTGTACCTTGTTTTGAGTTCCATGGTTTCCGATGGCTCAATGTCTATCCATAGGCTGTTGTAAAATATATGTATAAGGCTTGCGATTCTGTCCCCGAACTTCGGTCACTTTTTTACGGCGCATGCTCGTGGCTAAATGCCGAGCGTAGTGCGCGTCGCAGCGTGTGGTGTTTGGACTCTCAGAGAAGAGGTCGCCTGGCTGTCGGAGTGATTGTCCGTAAACTAGTTCTTGCTGGACATTTCGAGATCGGTTTTCAGTGCTGATCGAATTTCGAGTAGTACGACTGGCACGACTTCTGTCTAACTAAGTGCATTGGCGGCACTCAAAGAGGCTTTAAGCTGTCTGTCGAAGCGATCCACAATTTCGTTTGGCTGAGGATGGTAGGAAGTTGTCCGAATGCGTTTTCATCCGAGGACCTTGCGTAGGTCGTTAAAAGTCGCCGATTCGAATTGCGGACCACGGTCCACAAACACAGTGGCTGGGAACGCATGTGAAGCGACCTAAAGCTCAACGAATGCGCGCGTTATGGTCTCATCAGAAACATCGGGAATTGGGACAGCTTCAGGCCAACGAGTGGCGCGATCAACCATGGTCAGTATGTAGACCATGCTTTTGGATGGTGGTAGTGGTCCAACGATGTCGAGGTGGATGTTAGCGAATCAGGTTGACGCTGACGGAAAGCGTCCAATCGGAGCGGCAACATGTCGATGAACTTTTGCCCGCTGACAAGTCAGACAGTTGCGTGCCCAAAGTCTCACGTCGTGCTGCATGTTGGGCCAGACATATCTGTCGGCAATCATCCTGATTGAAGCACGGATACCAGGATGCGCATTGTTGTGCAGCGTAGCCAAGACTTTCGGACGAAAAGTGGTTGGTACAAGTCGAGGTGGATGTCCTGCAGAGACGCCGCAGTTTATTGTACCTGTAGACGAAAGAAGCGGTCTAGGTACCAAATTAAGCGTGTATTCTACGCACGATGTCAGTAAGTTCTTTTCGGCTTCTTGAGCTGCGGCCATAACTGCCAGATCGAGGAATTGATCTTCTGGAGTCAGAGAGTTCACTCTTGAAAGCGTGTCTGCCAAAACGTTGTCCTTGCCAGACACGTGTTGAACGTTCGTCGAAAACGGAGGCGAATCCTAGATGACGGACTTCACGCGGAGAGTGCCGTGGCGAAGGATTTCGGAAGACGTAGACGAGTACTTCGTCACTTGTAAAGATAGTAAAACGACTACCTCCAAGAACGTGACGAAAATGACCAACGGTGAGTAACTCGCGGCCAAATGAACTATATTTCATCTCGACTGTCTGAAGACGTCGGGAAATAACGCTAGTGGTTTCCAGTTGCCTTGAGAAAACGGCCTCAGAACAGCGCCGATCGCCTTTTCCGTGGCATCCACGGCTACACTGATAAGAACATTCTAATCGAAGTGAAGATGCATGACGGCAGACGCTAGTGCGTGCTTTCTGGCTTCGAAAGCTTTTTCTGCTTCAGGTGTAAGATCAACTTTACTGTTGTTGCATCCACACAGAAAATCCGTGAGCGGTTGCGTAAGCTCGGCGCTGCGTGGCAAGAATCTGCGGTTCAAGTTGTCCATGCCGTTGAAACGTCGAATTGCGGCTAGAGTCGTTGAACTAGGGAAGTTGCGAATTGCTCTGACTCTGTCTTGCAAAGGGCGGATCTCATTGGAACCAAGTTGATGTGCGAGGAACTCAATGTGCGGCTGCATGAAAATTCACTTGTCAGGGTTGACGGTGACGTTTTGCGGTCTCAGCCGTTCGAACAAGAGTCGTAGGTATATTCGCTGTTCCTCTTCCGATGAACTAACCACCAAGGTATCGTCGATGTACGGGTGGATAAACTCGAGTCCACTTACGTTGGAGTTAAAGAAGTGTTGAAATATCTGCGCAGCGTTGCGCAGACCGAGTGGCATTCGTAAAAATTCGAATAGTCAAAATGGCTTGATACCGGCGGTTTTCGGTATGTCCTCATCGGCGACGGGTATCTGATGATAGGCTCGCACCAGATCGACCTTTGAGATCACGCAAGTTCTATGAAGTACGGCTGTGATATATTGAATATGCGGAATATGATACGGATCCGGAACCGTTATGCCACTTTCCAGACTTTTTCGGCACCATGTGCTGAAGCGCAAACCAAGGGCTGTTAGAGAGTCGGACGATCCCAAGTTTGAGCAGGTGCTGGAATTCCGCACGGGCGGTTTTGAGCTGCTTCGTTAGTCCTTGGGCTGTCGCGGAGACAGGTGGACGTTTGGTAACTATGGGACGTGGCGTAGCTGCAGCTGCTGTTGACCCAGGCAACGCTGGTCGGAAGACTTCAGGAAAACTCTCAAGTAGCCACTTGCCATCCAGTGAGTTGTCAGTAGCTTACACCGGGTTGAGCGATGCTACCTCACTGGATATTCCAGCAACGGAAAGTTTCGTTGTCTGGTCGAAGTGGTGTTGTCGTTTAGCGTCGACGAGCAAGTCGAACTGTTGAAGCAAATCCATCACGATTATGGGATTTTGGACGTCAGCGACGATGAATATCCACCGAAAGGAACGTCGCAGGGCAAGGTTGAGCGTGCGCCAACGCTGACCGTACACCCGAAGGTTGGCGCCGTTCGCTGCGCGTAGAAAACTAGTCACCTTTCCGGTTTCATCGTTAGGATCACGAGAAAGGACGCTGACTTCTGCGACAGTACCGACGATATAGCGAACTCCCGTTTGTCGATCGGTGACGAAGAATAGGCGACTGTGTTGACTAGCTACTTCCGTCGCCCCTTCATGCTGGGCGGTCGTTTCCCTGTGCGTTGCATTTGAAATAACAGGGTTGGCGGCATGACATGGCCTGTGGGCCAAATCGCTGATGATACCAGCGGTGGGAAGAGGTTCGGCTCGGTGATTTCGACCGATCGTTTACAGCTTGATGAACGGCATCGGCAGCTACTCCAGGAGATTGTGAAATCGACGAATCTCTTGGTGATTTCGACAGTCTGCGCTTTCATTTCTACCATATCATCTCTCGGCGTAGCACGAACATGTGAAATCTGTCCACACAATTCCCAACTTTGGTCAGCTATATCGCCCATTTGGAGCAGTCTTGTGTCAACACTTGCGGAGAGTACATTGCACATTTCACGCGGCAATCTACGCATCCACATTTCCCTAAGGAATAAGTCGTCCACCATAGCGGGTTTGGCCAAATTTTGCATCTTTCGCAATAGCTGCGACGGCTTGTGGTCACCCAGCTCTGATTCTCTCAAAAGCTTTTTGACTCGTTGACGATCTAAATGATTTGTACTCTTAAGGACCGCCGCTTTAATTTCTTCGTACGTTTTCCTCTCTGCTGATAAATCTAGGCTGTCGTCGACGACGTGAGGATGAAGTGCAGATACGACGTGGAAATAATTCATCATCTCAGTGCTAATGCCACGCGGCTGGAAAAGTGCTTCTAACTGTGCATACGAATGTTTTGGATTGCTCTCGCGAAATGTCGAAGTAGCCGTGGTTACAGTATCGACCTGGCCATCGGGAACTATATGACGCGTCCATAGCAAGAAAGATACAAAGCAAGCGATATAATATCCGAAATGTGCACAAAAGCTGGAAGTGGATGGACGTATCACAGAATTTAACAAACTTGAAAAGAAATATTAGTAAACGTCTTAGCAAATTTTCAGTCGGTGTTGCCAGTTATAACGGAATCCCTCGGTCACTATAATCTCAGGTTCATCCCACCTTACGAATAAGTCAGATGAAAATATTGTGGTTTCTTCTGACAGTACGGTTAACCTGCCTGAAATCGGCTAGACAGCCCCCAACCAGTTCAATCCCTCAACGAAATGAGGGCGTCATGATCAGCCGGACTGAGGAATTCCTATTCTGATTCTGGTTCCATTGTATGAGAGCATGGCACAATAAATAGGTTGTAAGAAACCACTAATACAACAAAATTGGAGATGCTAATTAATATTAATTAACACAAATCAAACGGTTCAAGTTCATGGTCCAACTTGCCGTTGATTCCACATAGATTCGCATTTTGATCTGTACTCGAGTTCGATTTCTAATTGTAGCTCGATTCACTGTTACGCCACTACTCCCGGCCTGTGCGCTGGCTCTCCATAAAAGAAGACAAATAAATAGGCCAAATAGACGTTTATTGCTCAAACGTACAATCCCGCTAACTAAACGCACCGTAAAATGGTTCTATCTAGGAGGAAAGACCACGCTAGCACTCTTCGAGACGGGTAGCCGAAAGCACACGAAGTGCGATTCG